TGGGTATATTTAATCCTCCTCACACATAATTTTTTTTTGACTTTTTTTGTTTCAACGGCTAATTTAAAGTTATTATTTTGATGGTCAAATTTATTTATGTTTCACTAATTTTCTTGTAAACTTTATTATAGATGACCCAATTTTTTTTCAATACAAAAACTAAATAACAATATAGTAAAAAAAAATAGTTTTAAATTATAATATAGCCACAAAAAAATTAGTTTTAAAATTTTCTCTTTACACTAACGAACAAAAGAAAAAAATAAAATAAGAATAAGAAACTCAAAAACTGATAATCAAAGACGTCAAAAAATAATTTATGTATAAATAAGATTAAAATATACCTTGAAATTCAATAGAAGGATCATATATACCTCTACGTGATTTTTTTAAAATTTAAAAGTCAAAAACATAAATTTAATACTATTTTTTTCACTTCCGTTAAATTAAGGGTATATGTGAGCTCAATTTGTAACGGTAGGGGTATATGTGAGCCGTTTGTATAACGGTAAGGGTATATATGAGCCACTTTCATAACGAGGGGCATATGAGCTCCAAATGGCAAAGTTGAGGGGTATATCAGACCCTTTTCCCATAAAAGTATTATAACCTGCACATCACTAGGCAACTTTACATGCAGATTCAAAACATAGCACACTGGCTTGCAATTTGAAACTGAAAGGAAGTGAAGGATTGTTCTTACCTTTCTTATCCACTGTTTTGTTTAACTAGGAAGTTACCCTGAACAAAGCTAAAAAAAAGGACTGCTTGAGCCATCTGGTAAAAATATTGAATCAATTGTGACCTGTGACTGATCAAACTTTCAAGATAGACATATAAATGAGATTATAGGAAAGTAAAGCTACATTAAAAAAGACAAGAAACTTTAACAAATGAATGCACTCAATAAAGCAGAAGAAGTTGCTTTATCAAGGAATCTTGATTCCTAGTTCAATTTCTATGTTATCTTTAGGCAACTTTTGATCCATAGTTTGACTGAAGCTTGCCTTTCCCGTCATTTCATTTCACCTTTCAAGAGAATTATTGTATCTGACTAATGTTGTGGACCGAACCACCATGTCGTTGCAAAGCAGCAATCGATTCACCACATCGGGGGCAGCAAAAAGACGGAGCAGTGGAGCACCGTGTTTGAAGACAGTAGTAACAGCAGCTGTATAGTGATGAAGATACATAAAACTCACATGAACAACAGTTACTAACACTAAAGCAATAAATCGACACATGAATGACGTCAACCCAAATGGATGACAAGATGAACGCACAAGCAAAATATCCCCTCTGCAATATCTACAGTTACAATGTCTTAATAGTTGACTGACTACCATAGATATTCGAGTTACTTCGTCTAAACTTAGTTTGTAAGCGACTACTTCGTTAAATTAGGTAGTTCTAATAGGTATCAGATCTATCCTGATGTGCCATTTTTTCCGTCTTTTGATACATTTCTTGGGTAAAGTCCTGACTCTTTTTGAAAATGAATTGGTAAGGTAAAGTTCTCTTCTAGTTTCACTTCTTGTATTAAAATTTTAGCTTGCTCTAAAATTTGATGCCATGCTTGTTTATAAAACACTGGATGCAGGGCCGTCTTAACCCTTAGGCCACTAAAGCCATCGCTTGGGGCCCCATATATTTTGGGCCCCCCATTTTTTAAAAACAATTACTTATATATGTTTTTTTTTAAAAAAAATTATATGTACTATGAGTGTTATGATTTCTACTAAGAAAATTACATATGAGATGAAAATAAACCTGAATGTCGTAAGAAACACTTTGATGAAAATATGGATAGCGAAATCACAAAGTCCCTTGAAGAATCTTTTAGAGTTAATTGTTTTATATATGTAAAGTAGATCAAACTATTTTTTCACTTCAAAATAGATTTGAACCAATTGAAGCATATGAAAATATTTTTGATTTCTTATTTAGTGGTAAAATATTGAGATCACTACATGATCTCATTAAAAAAAAATATTGTCTTAACCTTGAACTTTCTTTAACACGTAATAGTTATTCTGATATTGATGATCTTGATTTATTTTTTGAATTAAAAGTGTTAAGGGAAACAATACAAGTAGAAGATAATGATCTAATGAAAACACTCAATCAAATAAAAAGACTTGATTCTTTTTCAAATACACATATTGCTTATAGAATAATACATATATTGCTTATAGAATAATGTTAGCAGTTCTTGTAACCATTGCCTCAGTCGAAAGAAGTTTTTTCGAAATAAAAAATTGATTAAATCTTCTTTAAGATCAACAATATAATGTCTCAAGAGAGATTGAATAAATTAGCTATATTATCATTTGAAAAGGAATTATTAAAACAAATTGATTATAAAATAGTACCTAATGACTTCGCATCTAAAATAACTAGAAAAGTAGATTTTAAATAAAAGTATATATGATGAAAAAAATCAAATAAAAGGGCCCCTCTCTTAAGTTTCGCTTGAGGCCCCCAATGTTGTTGAGTCGGCCCTGACTGGATGTGAAGTTCATTTAAAAAATACAGGAGGATGTGAGGCTCTGCAAATATAAAAGATTTTTCTAAACAGCCCTGAAGTGTTGTATATAGTTTGCAATCTATAAAGTTACACCTATGTACAGCCCACGCCTCCATATATACAATATGCCTACATAAGCATAAGATTGTTATTCTGCAATGTCAGTGAATTAAACTAATTCTTTTAAACTTCAATGCATACTTTGATTAAGTTTCGATATAATAGAGTTCCTACTAAATGCATGAACATTTGAAAGCTACACTGTATCGCCATTCTACTGTAAAATTGTAAGCATGCAATACATGTACCTGTGCTGACAAGGAATAGTTAAAAATGGAATGGTTGGCTTTCCTTGACAGATTGGGCACGAAGTGTCATCCACTGAAGAATCTGAAGATTTATCCTTTGAGAATGGAAGAAGAAAATTCTTGATGGATGATGAATTGAGAAGGGGAAGAAGCAAGAGCAGCAATTCCTGCACATTAGAACAGTTGATAATGTACTTGCATTAAGTTTTTTGAAAACGATAACAAAAGAACGTACTTCCATCCATATTGTTTGCAAAAACAGATGCACTGGTAAAAAAAATAAAAATACCAAACAATTAACTATAAGCTTTTACTGCAAAAGACCAACTTCGAGCTCCATCCCCATACCCATACCCGCCAACAAAAGAAGGCTGACACAAATTGGAAAACAAGATCGGTTAGCCCTTTGGCAGCATGTATAAAAGCAAAGGGATGTTCTTTCTGGGCCCTTTCCCTTTTTTTATAAGGTGAAGGACCTCTTTCCTAACAGATGATTGATAGCTAAATTGCAGACAGAGAGAGATAACTTGTCTTCAATATTCCCCTCTTCGGGAACGACCATATAAAATCTGCAACACTCTGCTAATGGATGGAAAATTACCGAGAATTCATTCCACACCAATTGGCGATTCATGTACTCGAAGCTCACAGCTCTGTTCATATTTGGGCTGCCATAAACAAGTCTGGCTCTTAAAGCTCTTTCAATGAGATTCCTATACCTGCATGTCATTGGTTCATGTAGAGTAACCAGTAAATCCCAAAATACATAGCAAGTTATATTCTTAATTCCTGTCAATCTGAAAGCCATATGTACAGGACACTTGTAGCAGTCAACCCATGTTTAACAGTTAAACCATTTTCAAAAGGTCTCATGAACAGTATCCTTACAGCAGTCAATTTTCTACCCTCCACTTAAATACCATGCTTTTGTCTGCGGCAGGGCCCAAAACCGTGATGTGTACAATGCGCCTTACCACACATCAAGCGTTATGCTTTTACTACAAGAGCAAATCCCTGGGGACATTTTCTAACTTCAGTATTATATTTTTAATTCCAGTCAATCTAAAGATCAAATGTACAGAACACTCATAGAAGTCAGCACATGCAGGGAACACGCTCAACAGTTCAACCCTTTTTAAAAGGTCACATGTACAGGACCCTCACAGCAATCAACCTATGCACGGAACCCTTCTACCAAGAATGTCACTAACTTTTCTAACTTAAAGCCTTTTTTTACCTTTTTTATTTTGTTTTCTTTTTTTTTGTGCTATTTTATGTTTTCCTCTGTGTGAGGTAAAGAATGCTTTGGAACATCATCATTAACTTATTGTTATTGTGGAATCACCTCAATATTCTGTCTCTCACAGTTCCTGGACAACAAAGCCGTCCCAGAAAAAAATATTTGGTTTCATAGGACAGAGCAATTTCAAAAATGTCCAGCAATTTTTAACCAAAAACTTGGCTCGACTTAGTAGGCAGCCAATAACACAATCCAGCAAATACAGATGATAAAGCACCACACAGCCTTGCAGCTCTGCTTTTGTTACACGCATATCCATTTCTAAGCTAGTGCACTGATTTTCTTTTTGTTAGGTAAATAATTATATTAACAATTGGAGGAAAACCCCATATACAAGCCGTGTACCAAAAGAGAGAACCTACATCAAAATATGATTCTCAAAAAAGGAGACCCAATCTTTTGAAAAAAACTGGGGTCTCAAGGAAACACCAAATGAAAACTAGAAACAAAAGACTATTTTGCAATTTACATCTCTTTTATGCCATAGGACTTCTCTTCCCCCACCTGTAAGCCCAGCTATGCAATGCCTCCTTCACTGTGCTTAGAATCACCCAATGCACCCCAAACCAATTAAGAACTACTCTCCGCAGTCAGCTAGCCACTAGACAATGCAATAAGAGAGTAAGAGATGATCTTTTTTGATGAAATAATAAGAGATGATCACTGATTCAAGTAGCATAACTTCATCATTTTCTTTATTAAATGGTTAAATCAGCAATGTGCATAATGCAGCTGTATGCTATAGGAGTACGTCTATCCTTTATTTTCTTTTATTTGGTGGTCATGTCATACATCTTTTTAAGAAATACGAAAGGGATGTGCAACCAGAGAGAAATGCCAAAAATTTCCGAGCATGCTTTCGAAAGAAATAAGAATTACAGTCAGAGATATACCTTCCTGTACAAAGAAAGAGAAGTAGATTACTAAAAGAGGCTGCTTTATAGATCCCTTCAATCCGTTGTATTAACAACCATGCTTGGCGCGCCAAGAACTCTGAAGAAGCCACAAGATTAACAAGTCAATGTTTCATCGTACAATTGACACTTGCAAGTAACTATTTTACCTGTTCAAATTTGTAGCATAAAATTACGACTGCAACAATTCTATTTTGGATGACCAAATTAGAATAGACAACATATCAACAAAAGATTCAAAATTGAACCATTTCAAATTTATTTAGCCTCAGAAGCAGGAAAAAGTTAACCTCTTCTAAAATGAGCTCTGCGTTCCTTCTAAGGGAAGATCTACTAAATTACATTATACCAAATGCACGACATATTACTTCTACTTATCTCAATATATAGAGCAGTAATGAGTAACTTCTACTCGAGCAGGCATGCAAACGAACAAGTGAGATAAGAGTCGAAGAGGACTATACCTGCTCAGAGTTGTCCCATCTTCGAAAAGCAGAAAATGATTAAAGACGGGCCAACATATATTGCCCACCAACAGTAGCGACACAGTACCATATCTTCTGAGCAACAGTAAGACCAGGTCCCTCCAATCCTTTTCGAACTAACATATGCCGAAAAGCAAAACTGTGGTTGGTACTATGAATGCTGATGCAAGAGGCACAAGATCAAAAGTGAAATTCAATTAAGTCAAGCTGTCAACCTTAGCAACTTCACGTACAAATTAAAA